TTACTTTCAGGCCTGTCTCTATTCCTGTGAAAATAGTGTTTATACTTACCTACCGTCCTCGCGTATTTTTTTTTTTTTTTTTTTGACAGGCAGAGTGGACAGTGAGAGAGAGACACACAGAGAAAGGTCTTCCTTTTACCGTTGGTTCACCCTCCAATGGCCGCTGTGGCCAGCGCGCTGTGGCTGGCGCACCACGCTGAGCCAAAGCCAGGAGCCAGGTGCTTCTCCTGGTCTCCCATGCAGGTGCAGGGCCCAAGCACTTGGGCCATCCTCCACTGCACTCCTGGGCCACAGCAGAGAGCTGGACTGGAAGAGGAGCAACTGGGACAGGACCGGCGCCCCGACCAGGACTAGAACCTGGTGTGCCAGCGCCGCAGGCGGAGGATTAGCCTATTGAGCCATGGCGCCGGCCGAAAATATAATTATATTTACCCAAATTGGACTTTACACATTAAAAGATGTACCAAACCATCACATAGTAGCCCGCAAATATGTACAAATTTTATGTCTTAGCTTTTTTAATTTTAAAGAAGATTTAAAATGGATTGTTTTCATCTGTACAATAAAAAATGATTGAGGCTGGGGCTGGCACTGTGTTGTAGTGGGTAAAGCTGCCGCCTGCAGTGCCAGCATCCCATATGGGTGCCAGTTTGAGTCCTAGCTAATCTACTTCCCATCCAGCTCTCTGCTATGGCCTGGGACAGCAGTGGAAGATGGCCCAAGTCCTTGGGCTCCCGCACCCACGTGGGAGAACTGAAGGAAGCTCCTAGCTCCTGGCTTCGGATTGGCACAAATCCGACAGTTGCGGCCAATTGGGGAGTGAACCAGCAGATGGAAGACCTCTCTCTGTCTCTCTCTCTCTCTCTCTCTGCCTCTCCTTCTCTCTGTGTGTAACTCTGATTTTCAAATAAATAAATAAATCTTTAAAGAAAAATGATCAGGGCCAGCATGGTATCACTGCAGGTTAAGCCACCACTTGTGATACTGGCATGCTATAAGAGAGTGCTGGTTCAAGTCTGCTCCACTACTGACCCAGCTTCCTGATAATGCACCTGGGAAAGCAGCCAATGATGGCCCAAGTGCTTGGATCCCTTCCATCTGTGTAGAAGACTCTGATGGAATTCCTGGATTCTGGCTTCAGCTTGGCTCAGCACTGGCATTTGGGGAGTGAACCAGTGGACAGAGTCTCTCTCTCTCTCTCTCTCTCTGTCTGTCTCTCTCTCCCTCTCTCTTTCTCTCTCTCTCTTTCCCTTCTTCCTGATTGTTATTAACTAATATTTTTAAAGATTTATTTTATTTATTTGAAAGAGTTACAGAGAGAGGTAGAGACAAGAGAGGTCTTCCATCCGCTGGTTCACTCCCCAGTTGGCTGCAAATGCCAGATATGCACCAATCCGAAGCCAGGGGCCAGGAGCTTCTTCCGGGTCTCTCATGCAGGTGCAGGGGCCCAAGGACTTGGGCCATCTTCTACTGCTTTCCAGGCCATAGCAGAGAACTGGATCAAAAGAGGAGCAGCCAGGACTAGAATCGATGCCCATATAGGATACCGGCGCTTCAGTCCAGGGCTTTAACATGCTGTGCCACAGCGTAGGCCCCAATCTTTTTTTTTCTTTCTTTCTTTTTTTTTTTTTTTTTTTGACTGGCAGAGTAGACAGTGAGAGAGAGAGACAGAGAGAAAGGTCTTCCTTTTACCATTGGTTCACCCTCCAATGGCCGCTGCGGACGGTGCACTGCGGCCGGTGCACCGTGCTGATCCGAAGCCAGGAGCCAGGTGCTTCTCCTGGTCTCCCATGCGGGTGCAGGGCCCAAGCACTTGGGCCATCCTCCACTGCACTCCCAGGCCACAGCAGAGAGCTGGACTGGAAGAGGAGTGACCGGGACAGAATCTGGCACCCCGACCGGGACTAGAACCCAGGGTACCTGTGCCGCAGGCAGAGGATTAGCCTATTGAGCCGTGGCGCCAGCCTTTCTCTTTTTTTAAGATTTATTTATTTGCTGGAAAGACAGAGTTACAGACAAGCAGAGGCAGAGAGTAGAGAAAGAGACAGGTCTTCCATTCACTGGTTCATTCCCCAATTGGCCACAACAGCCAGAGCTGTGCCAATCCCAAGCCAGGAGCCAGGAGCTTCCTCCAGGTCTCCCATACTGGTGCAGGGGCCCAAGGACTTGGGCCATCTTCTACTGTTTTCCCAGGCCATAGCAGAGAGCTAGATTGGAAGTGGAGCAGCCGGGATTCTAACCGGCACCCATATGGGATGCTGATACTGCAGGCAGTGGTTTTACCAGCTATAGCACAGTGCCAGCCCCATAACTAATCTTTTAAAAAAGATAACTTGCTTATGATGCAAAATAAGAAAAATAAAATATTTGCTATAACTATCACAATAGGCAAATTCTAATCTTAGGTACATTCACCAAAAAAACCCTTCATTTAGTCTGCTAAATGAAGTAATGTAAATAAAAGCAGAATATTCAGGGCTGGCTTTGTGGCATAATGAGTTAAGCCACCACTTGCAGCACCAGCATCCCAAATGGGTTCAGGTTGAGTCCAGGCTGCTCCACTTCTGATCCAGCTACCTTCCAATATGCCTGGGAACGCAGCAGAGGACAGCTCAAGTGCTTGGGCCCCTGAACCTACATGGGATACTCAGAGGACGCTCCTGATTCCTGGCTTCAGTCTGGCCCAGCTCTGGCCATTGTGGCCATTTGAGGAGTGAACCAGCAGATGGAAGACCTCTCTCTCTCTCTCTCTCTCTCTCTCTCTCTCTCTCAAAAATTATAATAAATATTTAACAAAGCACAGAAAATTCATTAAATTTGGTGAGTTTGGCTGCTAGTTATGACATAGATGAGATTTATTGTAGTGAAGGGAGGGTGCTAAGGCTTCACATGTTGAAATTTAATACCCATTGTGAGATACTAAGTGGGTAGTATCAGAGGGGTGGCCTTGGGGAAGTTGATTATTTTAGATAAGTCATCATGTAGCCCCATAATTTAATCCTGGTGTGATCATGAAGAGAGACCAGACAGTCATAGACACATAAACACACGCCTGCCAGGACTGCCATGATGTGATGCAGCCAAGAGGGTCCTCACAAGAGCCTGCTCCATGATGTTTGAACTTCCTGACCCTCAAAGTACAAACTAAACAAGCCTCTTCAGAAAGCTAGGCTGCTTGGGGTATTCTGTTGTAGTAAAGAAAAATGGATAAATGCAATGGAAAGGTAAGAAAATGGAAGCGAAGGGTAGACTCTACAATGGAGAAGTTTCATAGTGAGGGAAAAGAAATGAATACAGTATGGTCAGGAAAGTTAGATTATGGGGTTTTTTTAAATTATTTTAGATTCCCGGGTCATTCTTCCCTTTTCTTTGAGGACTTAGCTATTGGTTCACTGCCAATGTCTCCAACAACTCTTCCTGTAGAGTTCTGTTATTTGAGCTGCAACACTCAAATATTCTCTGTTCTCTGATTCTCTTACTGCTCATTTCTCCAATGATCTGAGTCATTCACCCCCATGGTCATGTCTTAAATAAGTCACTGCTGAGAACTACCATCTGTCTGTTTCAGATTTCAGACCCACAGAATTCTGACCAAAATAAAATGGTTTTTGTTATCAGGTACTAAATTTTGAAAT